TATCTTCTTCTTTTTCTTTTTTCTTAACATATGATGCATTATTTGTTGCAGAAGTACAGATCTGCGACTCAACAGTCTTGCACAATTCATTTACTTACTCAATTTTTATTTATGTCAGTATGACTCATGGGTATTTATTTTATTCATTGGATTATAATTTAATACTATCATTACTTTTTTTTCTTAAGTTGTTCCAGCTTTGGATATTGGGAGCTCATTTTGGATTGGCTCCTTGCCCTTTTGACATGGCCTATCCTTAAAATATATATTTTTAAATTCCATTTGTGAAAAGATTCTTATTACTTGAGAGCAGAAACTTTTAGATTTTTATCCCTCATCCACCTTTTTTGGCCAGGGGTAAGAAGGATACTCAGAGGGGCACCTGGGTGGCTCAGTTGGTAAAGTGACTGCCTTTGGCTCAGGTCATGATCCTGGAGTCCCTCGATCGAGTCCTGCATCGGGCTCCCTGCTCGGCGGGGAGTCTGCTTCTCCCTCTGACCCTCCCCCCCTCATGTGCTCTCTCTCTCTCTCTCATTCTATCTCTCTCAAATAAATAAAATCTTAAAAAAAAAAAAGGATACTCAGAACAATACAGAAATGACAAGTCTGAATCACCCATCTGATTAAAGATAGCAGACTTATAAAATGAAAGATCTACCAAGAAAGCATACCTGTTTGAAATTGAAAATATGTACTTGACTTTTTAAAATACATGCATTATAAATATTGTCCGGAGTTTATTGAAAGAGGATAGGATTTTTAGGAGTTCACTCCTCCATACCAGAAATGAAAACCTATAAACTCTTTTTTAATATTAAAAATGTATTAGCGTTAGTTAAAGTTAAACAATCAGTACTTTTTTAAAAAACTGTTTAGTATTCTAAGTAATACAGTACTTTCAATTCAACAGGACTGTCTTCAAGGAAAGTGATATTAAATACAAGTGGCCTGTTTTATAATATAGAACTTCTAAACTTTGGACAGGTAATTATCCTGATTATAGCAAGGATTTGATTTTACTTCACTGTTTAGTTAAGCAAACAAATAAACCTTTGGTGTTTTTTTTGTTTTGTTTTGTTTTTTGGTGGTCAAACTCTTATTAGATATACCAGGCTTTTAAAATCAACGTAGTAAGCAAGTGCTCCGGAGTCAAAGGTAAGTGTATTTTCTGAGAAGAATAGTATTGTCATTTGAAGAATCAATAGCTCTTCACTTGAATTTTCTATAATATTTATTTTATGTGAATTAAAATTAAATTATGATAGTAGAAAAGCTGTCTATATTTCCAAGAGTTTTAATATAGACCCTTTTTAACACTAAGTATCTTCAGCTGTATCAGTTTAAATAATCCACATTTAAAAAATACTATATATTTTTTTCTATCTCATTATAGTAGTAATTCAGATTTAGTTGTTTTACCAGTTTCTTGTTATTTTCCATATGCTGTAATATCTTTTGTAAGTCTAATTAAACATTATTATTTAACAATTCTCTAATTTTTTATGGGATCTAAGTCTTACTGGTTATTTTTTATGAAATGGGTAACTGTGTAGTTAGGTATTATAGTAGCTTATGTAACACTTAAGGTTAAGGTTACATAAGGTTAATAACACATATTTCCTTTATGTTTCCACAGAAGAAATAACTAGTATTTATAAACTTCATATTCCTTGGTCTTACGAAGATTCCCTAACTATTGCACAGTAAGTATATGAAAGAATTTATCTTAAACTTTGGCCATTTTGAATAATACATATTCTACTTAGTTTATTTAAGTGAAATTTTAATGAAACTATTTAAGTGCCTCTTAAAATGTAACTATCCTTTGGGTAGCATTGTGCTCATAAGATAATATTATAAGATAATGTAGTATTCTTATCTAAATGATCTAGAATTTAAACTTTAATTTGCTTGGACCATCATCCCCTTCCTAGACTGTCCTCCAACGCCTGTCCTACATGAAAGAGCATTCAAACAACTGTGATACAATTGGGAAAGTGTCCATCTATAATAACATCTCTGACATCTGTCTTCCTCTCCATTATTTCATTGTGTTGTGCAAGGATTGACTTAGAGTTTGTTATTTAACAGCAGTTTGTATTTGAGAATTAATATTTAAGTTATCTTTTTAGGGTACCATCTTCCACAGAAATTTCTCTGAAACTCCATATTGCTCAACCAGAAAATGACAGCCATGTAGCATTATTAAAAATGTATACATCTTCAGACTGTCAGTATGAAGTAAGTTGCACGTTTGCTTAACTTTTAAGATTTAGTTATAGAATACACAGGAAATGTATTTTTATATTAGCCTTAGATATATGGTAATGTGGAAGCCAATAAATATATGAAATAGACATTTGTGATGCTTTAAACATTCTCCATTTTGCCCGTTAGCACCACCTCAGTTATTTCCTCAGCTGGACCATTGAAAGTATATGTCTTAATAAGTAATAGAAAATAAAAATTGAGACTATAGATTAACTTTCTAAGTTTGGAAGCTCAAAGTCCAAAATTCTCTATAAATTGAAGAACATCATGAAATCAGCTGACATGGCTTTACTGCAATAATTAACATGATGTGTATTGGTTTCCAGCTCCACTGGATAAGTGTAAGAATCTTCTTTCCTTTTCACTAGCTTTTTAAATCTCTGTTAGTCATTAATATGTGCAGTGTAGTATGCCTGCTGTGTCTGTTTTACAATCACAGTACACCTCTGCTCCAAGAGAAGGCAAATAGACTTGAGGAACATTTACTCTTACGGATTCATGAACTACAAGTGTCCCTCTGTATCATTCCAGGTTCTAAGAATTCCAGATTTAAGGGATTATATATTTTAATGGCGATTTCTGGTTTATGTGAAATATCTTCTTTCTATTCAGTTCCTTTAAAACAACCTTAAATATTTGGATTCTTCATTAGAACTTTCTCGGGGTGGATTAGAATTGGTAGGTCAGACTGTTTGTTAGCAATAAGTTTCAGTTGGACCTAAATTATGAGTTATTTTTGATTTCATAGTATTTATTAATGCTTTGGTATCTTGCTTTCTGTTTCTAATACTGAAGGACTTTGTAGGGCTGTAATGGTTTTTAACATGTGTCTAATAGTGATAGCAAGAATTGCATTAATACTTTGGCTCCAAATACTACACACACTCACAAATGTCCATGTTTTGTAAGTACTTTACATTTTTAAAAAGTAAGTATTTTGAATAGTCATTTTATAATTTCCATATGAAATACATATTTCCTTTTCCCAGACTTCCTAATATCAAAAGAGTGTATTTATAATAGAGATAACGATGAATTTCTTTTTAAAATACTGTTTTGGCTTAAATTTTATGAAATATGCTCTGTTCCTGGTCTTTTATTCTATGAAACTTGTTTTTATGAAATTTACTCAGAAGTGCCTTAGCTTAACTATACTTAGTGCTATACAGTTTTAGGTTTGAGATTTTAAAATACTGGTTATATACATAGGTTAATTTGTGTTTAATTGTTCAGCAAACGGTTGTGTAGCTTCTGAATTCAGTCATTCAGTCAATTCCTTTAGCTTGCATGACCTGGTACTAAGATATTTTGGTTAATCAAATATTCTAGTTAGTAAAGGGTTATCACATGTACCATTCATCCAGTTGTCAAAGAATTAGAATCCAGGAAACTATGCTGAACAATAAAACTACACTTAATACAAATTAAAATTTGTGGTTCAGAAGATTCTTATAAGACCATAAATGTGTTTAGGTTGATCATTATTAAAATTAATGATTATGCTTAGAGATGTGCAGAAGTGCTCAGTTTAATAAAATGTGAACTAGAAGGCTTTAGGAAAAATAACCTTTTTTAATGATTATTTTAAACTAGGTGACAGTTAAGACTTCCTTTTCACAAATACTTGGACAGGTAAGTGATTCCTGGTTGATTACTATAAGGCAAGTGTTGCAAACTTTTTTCTGGAAAGGGCCAGATAATAAAATATTTTAGCAAACCAAATGTGGTCTCTTGCTGCTGCTACTGCTGCAGCTGCTTCTTTCTTTTTCTTCGTTCTCTTTTTCCTTCTTTTTCCCACTTTAATAAAATCCAAAAACCATTCTTAGCAGACAAATCATAGTTGGCCATGCCTGGCTTTAAGGTGATGCTTTCATTCCTAGAAATGAGAGCTGAGTCCTGATTCTCAAGTTAGTGTTTTTGGCTACATGAATGTCATATTAAGATTTCATGTTGCTCATACTATACTATACTTCATAGTCCAGTAAAATTTGTAGGCTCTGTCTTATAAACGAAAATTTTCAAATAACTTTTTATGTTGTATGTGCTTAGCTTGTAAAAATAAAAAGTAAATTATATTAAAAATAAACATGTTGAAATACTTTAAATGCTTTTGGGGAGTATGTTTTTGTAGTTCATAAATAGTGTTAGAAAAATAATTTATCAAATAGTAGAACTACTAAAATATTACTCAACATCATTATAATTTGCAGAATTGTATAACCTGGGCATAAATAATAATATTGATTAGTCAGAAAAATTATATACCAGTTTTAAAATTCATTAAAGTTTTATTGTGCCTTCTATTATTTTTTATTTTATTTTTTTGTCTGTTGTGGCATAGCATAGCAGAATTTTTAAAATTCAAGTCCTTTAATTCCATAATTATAAAACTTACAAATCAAAATTAAATCAGAAAATTTTTATATGCATTATCTCATTTGATTCTCACAACAACCTGGTGAGAACTAGATTGTGATTATTATTAAATTTGTGAACATTAGAAAATTCTAAGTTCATGTGTAAAATGTGCTACATTAGAAAGAGAAGATTAAATGGTGGTATAAATTGGAAAAGTAGCACCATGGATAGTTACAATAAATTCTCTAGCTTGTTAAGGGACTTTTTAAAAGAAAAATTGCAAGGGGTGGGTGGAAAAAAAAAAAGAAAACTTACCTCTTGGAATACAGGGGAAGAATTAATGCTATTGTATTTTTAGTATGTCCAAAAGGCATGTTACTGTACACAGTGGTATGGGCTGAAGATATAACATACTGTCTTATCTGTATCATCCCTGGGGCTCATAATTCAGATTAGTGACAAGAAAAGTCAAGTTCACCAAAGAAGGACATACTGATATTCTTGTTTAGGCATGGAAATTTATCTAAAAAACAAAGATATATAGGTGTTACAGGATCAAAGGTGGGTACTTTCTTAAATGTCAAGGAATTTGTGGTAATTAAGTCCTTCCCAAATTACTGAAAAGATATGATGCTCTTCCTTCATATTTATTTGAAAATTTAGCTTGAGAATGGTAGAATGAATTGAAGTTGTATATATTATTCATCTTTTAAAAGTAATACGTAGTTTCACTGTTGCTGATTCAGCAAAGAAGACTGAGAATAGGAATAAAGAGAAACCACTTGGGAGAATCTTTAGCCTTTGGTTAGATAATTTTCCATCAAATTAGTTTTTTTCTTTTTTTCTTTCAGAAAAAGGAAAAGAAAAAAATTTACATATTCTTTAGTCTACTTTAATGAAATAGGGCAAATAAACCAGAAGTTACTTTCTCAAGAGAATTATATAAACCAGTAAATCATTTCTATGTCAGAATGAAGTCTAATATTGCCAAATCTTTAGATTTTAAAAGAAACTGGAAATCTAGATTTTTAGGTAAAAATTTTTAAATTTTTTAATGTTGGCATCTAATTTGAAATGTAAAGAAATAGTGTGCCAAATACTAAGCCAAATCAAGCATGTCTCCAATTAGAATATGTTCCATTGTGGCCAGTTTATGATTATTGATTTAGGCATATGTTATATGAGCTGTATCTGTAGCCCAGTAGAATAGTTAATACTCATAACAATGACAGTCATTACAAGGAACTGTCATATTCAGAATACCGTATAGGAACTCTTAGATTTCCAAAGACAGTGAAGAGCATTAAAGGTTAATAATAACAGCTAATATTTTCTGATTACCTGTCTGTGCCAGTTACTATTACAAATGCCTTATACAACTGAACACATTTAAGCCTCAAGCTCCCTGTGAGATAGGTACTCTTTATCTCCATTTTATAGATAAAGGCACAGGGAGAATGAGGGGTAAAGTAACTTGTCCAAGGACACAGAGCTAGGGAGAGGCAGAGCTGTAGTCTAAATCCAGGAGTCTGACTCTAAGCCTGCTATGCTGCTTAACTTCTGTACTTGTTTCTTTTCGAAGATTTATTTGAGAGTGCGAGTACACGCACACACATGCATGGGAGAGAAACTCTAGCAGACTCCCCGCTGAGTACCATCCCCCCCCATCCCCATGGGGGGCTCCACCTCGGGCTCAACCCCACGACCCATGAGATCATGACTTGAGCTGATCAGTCAGATGCTTAACCAACTGAGCCACCCAGGCACCCCTCTTTCTGTACTCTTGATAACTAAAGTACGCTATGTTTTCTGCCATGTCATTAGCAGGCATTGAGTATCGTTTAGTAATAGGTAGAAAAATGACCTTTTCCCTTTCACTCAACTCCTCTCCCTCCACTCAAAGCTATAATTATAAATCATGAGTATGGGTTATAAGTTTGAATCTTTCTAATCTGTTTTAACCTGGGAATATATGAAGGAGCTTCAGGGAGCCTTTGGACTTCTTGAAATTTTACACACCATTTTGTGTAAGTTAATATATTTCCATTGCTTTCATCAGATTGCCAGGAGAGTCTATACATTTTCTTATAAATTCCTTGGAATGTAGAACATGCTTTAAATTTCCTTTTAAAACTTTAACATTAAAAGTTGATTACAGGGGCGAGAAGCAAGATGGCGGAGGAGTAGGAGACCTAAATTTTGTCTGGTCCCAGGAATTCAGCTAGATAGGTATCAAACCATTCTGAACACCTACAAACTCAGTAGGAGATCGAAGAAAAGAATAGCAGCAACTCTCTGAACAGAAAAGCGACCACTTTCTGGAAGTTAGAACGTGCGGAGACGTGAATCTGAGGCGATATTTGGGAAGATAGACCACGGGGGTAGGGAGCCTCTGTCAGCCAGCTACTGGCAAGTGATAGAGCAGTGGAGCATAAAATCGGAACTTTTAGAAGTCTACTTTGCTGAGGGATGTCGCTCCAGTGGCTAAGCGGGGGTTGGAACCCTCACTGGGACAGTGTGGTCTCAGGATCCTCGGGGTCACAGAAGGACTGGGGGTGCCTGAGTGCAGCAGAGCTCCCAGGTATCGGAGCAGGGAAGCCGGATGCAGAGATGGAGCTGAGGAGTGGGCTCTCAAGCTTGGGGTTGCCATAAACTGTGATCCGTGGCACAGTCAGGCCACTGCTCTTCCAGCAGGGACCCAACAAGCGGCAGATCCGGGGAGACTCCCCATCCTCCCCGAGGAGGAGCGGTGTGGAAGTGCACCGCAGGAATCTGCTGGGTTTGGAGACTCCAGACGGGTTCGTGTGCCAGAGATACAAACGCTCGGTGACAGGCCGGGTGAGCATGGAGTGTGGCCAGAGACCGGGGAGAGAGGAGTGATTGACTGTTTTTCTCTGGGGGCTCACTAAGTAGTGTGGTCCCGAGTTCTCAGCTCCACCGGGGCGGAGATTGGGAGCCCGCCATTTTCACTCTCATCCTCCAAAACTGTACGGAAAGCTTGTAGGAAACAAAAGCTCCCAAGAGCAAACTCCAGCAGATTACTTAGCCCAGCCCCTGGCAAGGGCAGGACAATTCTGCCTCAGGCAAAGACATTTGAGAATCACTGCAACAGGCCCTTCCCCCAGAAGATCAGCAAGAACGGTGAGCCAAGACCAAATTTACTGGATCAATGAGAACAGCAGAACTCCAGCCATAGAGGAATACAGCACATAGAATTCATGGCTTTTTTTCCCCATGATTCTTTAGTCTTTCAAAGTTAATTTTTTTCTATTTTTTTTAAATTTTTCTTTTTCCCTTTTTTAACCAACATCAATCCCTTTTTAAAAAATCTTTTTTATTTTTCATTTTTAAAGTCATATTCTATCCCTTCATTATAGTTAACCTTATTTTTGGTATATATGTAAGTTGCTCTGTCTTGAAAATTTTGGGATACAGTTTCTTCCAACAGACCAAAATATACCCTAATCCCTAATTTATGGCTTTGTTCTAGTCTCCTGCCTGATCACATTCTCTCCTTTTTTCTTTTTTTTTCAAATTTCTCTTCTTTCTTTTTTCAACCAACTTCTTATCAATTCCTTTTATAAAATCTTTTACAATTTTCATCTTTACATATTCCATCCCTCCATCGTATTACCCTTATTTTTGTACATATATGTTTTTCTTTCTTTAAAATTTTGGGAGGCAGTTTCTTTTAACAACCAAAATAAGCCCAAACTCTAGTGTGTGGCACTGATCTATTCACCAGCCTGATCATATTTGATCATATTCTTTTTTTTTCTTTTTTCTTTCTTTCCCTTTCTTTTTCCCCAGTTTCAGGTCTCTTTTGATTTGTTTAGTGTATATTTTTCTGGGGTGGTTGTTACCCTGTTAGCATTTTGTTCTTTTGTTCATCTATTCTCTTCTGCACAAATGACAAGATGGAAAAACTTACCCCCAAAAAAAGAACAAGAGGCAGTACCAACTGCCAGGGACCTAATCACTATGGACATTAGTAAGATGTCAGAACTAGAGTTCAGAATGACGATTATAAAGATACTAGCTGGGCTTGAAAAAACATGCAAGATACTAGAGAAACCCTTTCTGGAGAAATAAAAGAACTAAAATCTAACCAAGTTGAAATCAAAAAGGCTATTAATGAGGTGCAGTAACAAATGGAGGCTGTAACTGCTAGGATAAATGAGGCAGAAGAGAGAACTAGTGATACAGAAGACCAAATGAAGGAGAATAAAGTGAGAAAAAAAGATAAACAACTACTGGATCACGAGGGCAGAATT